GAGGAGTATGGAAGAAGTGAATGTTTTCAGTTACTTGGGAGTTGACGTGTCGGCGGATGGATTTATGAAGGATGAGGTTAATCATAGAACTGATGAGGGAAAAAAGGTGAGTGGTGCGTTGAGGTATATGTGGAGTCAAAAAAGGTTATCTATGGAGGCAAAGAAGGGAATGTATGAAAGTATAGTAGTACCAACACTCTTATATGGATGTGAAGCTTGGGTGGTAAATGCAGCAGCGAGGAGACGGTTGGAGGCAGTGGAGATGTCCTGTCTAAGGGCAATGTGTGGTGTAAATATTATGCAGAAAATTCGGAGTGTGGAAATTAGGAAAAGGTGTGGAGTTAATAAAAGTATTAGTCAGAGGGCAGAAGAGGGGTTGTTGAGGTGGTTTGGTCATTTAAAGAGAATGGATCAAAGCAGAATGACATGGAAAGCATATAAATCTATAGGGGAAGGAAGGCGGGGTAGGGGTCGTCCTCGAAAGGGTTGGAGAGAGGGGGTAAAGGAGGTTTTGGGGGCGGGGGCTTGGACTTCCAGCAAGCGTGCGTGAGTGTGTTAGATAGGAGTGAATGAAGACGAATGGTACTTGGGACCTGACGATCTGTTGAAGTGTGAGCAGGGTAATATTTAGTGAAGGGATTTAGGGAAACCGGTTATTTTCATATAGTCGGACTTGAGTCCTGGAAATGGGAAGTACAATGCCTGCACTTTAAAGGAGGGGTTTGGGATATTAGCAGTTTGGAGGGATATGCTGTGTATCTTTATACGTATATGCTTCTAAACTGTTGTATTCTGAGCACCTCTGCAAAAACAGTGATAATGTGTGAGTGTGGTGAAAGTGTTGAATGATGATGAAAGTATTTTCTTTTTGGGGATTTTCTTTCTTTTTTGGGTCACCCTGCCTCGGTGGGAGACGGCCGACTTGTTGAAAAAAAAAATATTAAAAACAATAATAATAATAATCATAACAATAGAAAAATTGTAAAATAATGACTTACAAACAATTCAAGATATGAACAGCCTTCTAGAACGTAACTTATTCGTAAGTTGGGGGGCATCTGTATATAGTTGAAAATTAAAACATTAGCTTCTGTTTGACAAGTCTAAATCATATTCAGAAAAGTTTACCATTAATATTACTGTGTCCATGTGCATAACCCTCATCCTATCCTCTATTCAAATTTTACAATAGGTGCAATAAAAATAGTAAAAAAGCTTCTTAGATTTTTCTTTAAGCTTATTCACTAACAATAAATACAACTTATATAATTTTTTCTTAATAAACACTGTCATCATGATAAAATGTAATACATACATATATTTATCCCACAAAAAAATCCAAAACTTTTCTGCTACAGCTCGTGAACTTGGTATCTCTAATAATATCATGTCTCGTTATACTATTGTTTGTCCCTTCTTCCAGACATGGCTACTGCTCTAATAATTTTACATAGTATTTATTGTTTTATTTGTCGGGAAACAGACAAATACATCTTCTGACACGGTCTTAATCATATAGATGACCTGTTCTTGTGTAACACACAATATTTTCTTTGTACTTCTTCTATCTATGTCTGCTGAAATAATTCTCGTAGAACATATACTGTATCATTGTATTTTGTATTGTAATTTAATTAACTCATACCACTCACTCTGTTAAAACCAATATTTTTAACTTTTATTTTACAAATTAACTTGTAACTTTTATCTATTTTTAAGATCCTATTAATACAGTGTATTAGGCCCTTAAAGAAATAATTAAAAATAAAACTACGTAAACTTTAAGTATGGTATAGCCTAAGCTTGCCCGAAATGCTATGTTAAACTCTAACGTTCTTGTAAACCAACTAATTTAACAATATCCCAGTAGTTATAAGTTAATTTTAAGGCTGCCCAAAATGCTCTGCATATTCGGGGACTTTCTATAAAGTATGTCAATAATGTGAACTAATCCTGTATCAAATGTATAATGTACTTTTGAAGCACGGAGAGATGTACAGCCTGACATAGCCCCCACATAGAAGTACAATACAGACTGGTACAAATAACTGTTTTTTCTATTTCTCTGAGTGCTTTGTCTTTTAACATATGTATAAAGGAATCATCTCCATTGGGAAATGGAACAGAATTCTTCCTCCGTAAGCCATGCATGCAGTAAAAGGAGACTAAAATGACGGGAGTAAGGGGCTAGTAAACCCTATTCCTGTATACATTACTAAATTTAAAAAGAGAAACTTTCATTTTTCTTTTTGGGTCACCCTGCCTTGGTGGGATACGGCCAGTTTGATGGAAAAAAAAAAATGATACTACAACTGATTCAGGGTGTGATACCTCTCAACACATGGAAATAAATCACATATACATACCCTGTATGTACTTTTATGTGGCTATAATATCCATGTGCCCTCAAAGCCATTGTAAAAATGTCTACTATGTACACAAGCCTAAATAAGGACACTTGCACTGCATTTACCTCCCTATACCAACATTTTTTCTTAGGTGAGATATGGTGCTAGGACACCCAAAGAGTTGAACTGAGGCATAAAATATAAGTGGGAGGCAAAGTTGAAGGCATGAAAACTTTGCATAAATTTACAGGGGACACCGAATGGACCCCAGCCCAAATATTCATGACACATGGTTAAGAGGTTAATAAATCATTAACCCTTTCAGGGTTTTCGACGTACTAGTACGGCTTACACACCAGGGTTATTGACGTACTAGTACGTCTAAATTCTAGCGCCTTCAAATCTAGCGAGAGAAAGCTGGTAGGCCTACAAATGAAAGAATGGGTCTATGTGGTCAGTGTGCTCAGTATAAAAAAAATCCTGCAGCACACAGTGCGTAATGAGAAAAAAAAAAACTTTGACCATGTTCTTGGATTAAAACAGCGACTTTGCACTGTATTTTCGTATGGTATTTATGGTTGTATTCTAGTTTTTCTGGTCTCATTTTATAGAATGGAAGACATATTACAATATTTTATTATTATCACACTGGCCGATTCCCACCAAGGCAGGGTGGCCCGAAAAAGAAAAACTTTCACCATCATTCACTCGATCACTGTCTTGCCAGAACGGTGCTTTACACTACAGTTTTTAAACTGCAACATTAACACCCCTCCTTCAGTAATTGAGATGATTTTGACTGGTTTCACAATGAAAAGTACCTTGAAATTGAGCTCAAAGTAGCAGAAATTATCAATTTTTACCAAAGTTCAAAAGTAAACAAATCATGCCAAGTGTTCAATACACGTCAACTGCTGAGTCTAATATTCTTTCACAAGTGCGCTGATATTATTTATACCATTTCTACACTAATGCAGTAGTCTGCATAACAGTAAATCTTCTATTTTTTGTAAGAATAAAAATTCAAAGTGGTAAGCAAAAGAAATATAAGAGGGGCCTGGGGACGTGACTAACGAACAGAGAACTTGTTATTTTAGTGCCAGGAATGTCTTTCTTGTTTATTCTGGACCCTATTTGGAAATTGACATCTTCTGAAATTTGTGTGAAATTGGCAAAATTGCCAATTTCTAACCACTTTATTGGATAGTTGAAACTGGTAAATGGTAGTTTCTTGTACTCATTCGATAGAAAAAATGGAGTTCTAGCAAAATAAATATGATTTTTGTCGACTAGTACACAGGAATTGGTCAAAAATAGGGCTCAAAGTGGGCAGAATCGCCGATGCGTAAACATTGGTGAGACCACTAACTTCGTGAGAGCATAATTCCGTAAGTTTTCCATCAAATTTCATATTTTTGGTGTCATTATGAATGGAGACAAATGGTTTTTAATACTTGACGTGCTGTTGGAGTGTGAGCAAAGTAACATTTATGAAGGGATTCAGGGAAACCGGCAGGCCGGACTTGAGTCCTGGAGATGGGAAGTATAGTGCCTGCACTCTGAAGGAGGGGTGTTAATGTTGCAGTTTAAAAACTGTAGTGTAAAGCACCCTTCTGGCAAGACAGTGATGGAGTGAATGATGGTGAAAGTTTTTCTTTTTCGGGCCACCCTGCCTTGGTGGGAATCGGCCAGTGTGATAATAAAAAAAAAAATATGATTGGGAAAAGATTCTCTATCATTTCACAAGAAAAAATAATTTTTTTTTTTTTTTTGAAAAATTTTCAACCCTGAGAACAAGTTTAGGAGAGGGCCTCTCGACCCTGAAAGGGTTAAATTGCCTTCATTTCTTAATCTTCACTTTCTCATTTTTCATTGCTCATCCATGCCAGATTTTAATATTCTTATATACTGCATTTGGTCTTACTTATTCTCTTGTGACTAATTTCTTCATTTGTAATTTCTTCATAATAATTTTTAATTTCCTGCCTTGGTGGGAGACGGCTGACTTGTTAAAAAAAAAAAAATATTTTCTTCTCCATGGAGAAGTGGAACAGACTTCTTCCTCTGTAAGCCATGAGTGTCATAAGAGGCGACTAAAATGCCAGGAGCAAGGGGCTAGTAAGCCCTTCTCCTGTATACATTTGTTTTTCTTTGTAGGTCACCCTGCCTTGGTGGGATATGGCTGGTTTGATAAAGAAGAAAAAATTATTTTTATGTATCTTTCTTACCAAAAATAGTCTCATTTCTAAAATGGGTAATACAGTCAATTCTTACCTGTAAGAATGCAGCCAGCAGGTATGTAACAACAAATATTGGAGTGAGGGAAGTGTGGCCAGCTTTTAGGTATGAGATGGTGTACATGAAAACTAAATGCCCTGGCACCACCAGAAGTAAGAGAACCCTTGCAGTTCGAGGATGACCAGCTGTGTATAAACATAATAGATTAATGACTCCGTACAAGCTTCACATAAACAGTAAAGTAAAAACAGCTAAATAAAAAAGAATACACTGAAAAAGTAACTGAACTATGTTTTAGTGTGTATGCAAAATAGATGTTTATGATAAGAGGATAAAGTGAAGAAAGACAGCCTTTTTCTTTTTAGAAGGAAAACTGGAAATACAGAGGTCTTAGGAAATGTAGTGAAACAGAAATAACAGTTATACATATTTATAAGAGACATCCTAGAGATTTTTCTGTCTTTACATGAAATATGAGATAAATAACTGGGAGCTATAATTACTGGAATACTATACAGAAATAAATATTCAAATGAAAATTAGATCAAATGCCTCTATAATAATTTGTATACATTTAAAGCAATCTGCATGGTATTTAAAACAGGCTACTATATTAAAACAATATACATACAGCTGGCTGAAAAAGCTTCAGAAAAACGTCAAAAATTATGTTATCAGACTTACCCCTAGCACAGAATGCAGAACAGGGATTAATGCAAATTTCAGCCACAAACTTTGGCATCTTGCCTAATGGAGCTGCAGCATGGAGAGCAGTAGAGATACGGGATGCTTGTACTGCTACTAGGTTTCCACCCACACCGTTGATTACAGGTTGGAATACGGCTATACCCTTGTAGTTGGACACGGTAAAATCTAAAATCAGCCCTCCCATGCTGAAATGTAATGATAATTTTAATTATCTGATTTTAAGCTAGATATCCTAGGGACTGAGAAAGTGAATAACAAATCTATACAAAATAAAACAGGTACAAACAGTGGCACCCCGAGTTTCGTACCGCCCCCAACTCGAACAATTATGTAAGTGTATTATTGCGAGTGCTTGCTTTTGTAAGTATTTTTGGGGTCTGAAACAGACTAATCTAATTTACATTATTCCTTATGGGAACAAATACGTTTAGTAATGGCACTCGAACAGCCTTCTGGAATGAATTATGGCCGAAACTCGGGGTACCACTGTACATGGTACAGTACAGTGGACCCCCGCATAACGATCACCTCCGAATGCGACCAATTATGTAAGTGTATTTATGTAAGTGCGTTTGTACGTGTATGTTTGGGGGTCTGAAATGGACTAATCTACTTCACAATATTCCTTATGGGAACAAATTCGGTCAGTACTGGCACCTGAACATACTTCTGGAGTGAAAAAATATCGTTAACCGGGGGTCCACTGTATAAGTATTTTTTATTTAATAATACATTACAAATATTCATCAAGTTTACGATTTTGCAGTTGCATATAGAATTTTTATATTGCTTTAAAACTCTTTCAATAGCACCTTTCAAAAGATAAAAAATAAGTAGTAAAATATATAACTATCATGGAATAATTGTATTTAGTGAATGAGACCTTGGTAACAAAAACTGACCACAGAGGCTATACATAGATATGTATAACACATTACCCCATATTCTAGCATCCCTTTGTGATATCTTATACAATCTATGCTAGTAACTACAGTACATGAATAGTTAGAACTGTTACAAGTCTAATCATAAATTGATTCCATGTGAATCACTGGTGAAACAAATCCAGGATAGCAAATACTAACCACAAACTGATTAACATTTGACTTCACCTAAATCTTCAACATTTCAGATATTTTTAACCTCCATGTTAGTGGAATGTATTCCCTGGAATGAAGAAGATAGAGATACCTGATAATATATACATGGAAGATGCTTTAAGGCCTAGCCCCAAATGTGCATAATACAATATCAATGTACAAGAGTGATATACTATATGGTAAGAAGTATAAAATAGACCCAATGAAAGTAGGAGTGATATGGAAATAATAATTGAAACGCTGTGTCAACATTCATGGCCCAAGACTATTTGACCTGCGAATAGCATATATCAGAAACATTGCCAAAACAAGTGTATAAGTTTTCAAGAGGTGTCTGGATCACTTCCTCTGCCAATTGCCAGAGCAACCAGAATGTAATTACTTTGTGGTTCAGTGGGCCACGAACAGTAATAGCCTGGTTGATAAGGGAAACAGCAGGAAAGCATATCCCCAAGTTGGGATGCAAGAGTAGAAAAACTTCTGAAACTGGTTGCAGGTATTGTGCATCACAGGTATACAATGATATACAGTGAAGAGATGATGAACAGCATATAAAATATTCCACCCTAAAATCAATTAATTTTAACATATGAATTGTCTTCAGTGCTCTTCTAAAACCTACAGGTGTATAGTGTCTTTAAACTGCCAATAAATATTTTTCATTACAGTTACTTTAAATCTACTAAATCACTTTGAAAAATCTACAGTTCTTCCTTCAATTCATGTATATTAATAATATTTAACACAATCCAATTTAGAGGAAGGTACATGCTGTACTACTGAATTACAGTACACTGCTGTACTGAACTGTATTCACAAGCCTTGTGTAACATTGGAATATCCCACACAGCTTGCTATATGTTTTAGCCATATTTATTTTTCATCTGATCTTCTTAAATTTCCAGTCAAGTCAGTTACAAAGCAAGGACTTCTTTTATTTTATTTTCAAAAGAAGGAGTAAATTTGTTCTACTGTCCAATCTCTAGGCACACAGTCCCAAGAGCTGTGTCATACCAGAGCATAGTTTAAGTTGAGCACTTTTCTTGCTAAATAGCTTCAACAGGTACTGGTTTACACATTTATGACTTCCTTTGATTTAAAGTGCAATACTTTTTATTCAATGTTTAGAAAAATTATTTGGCAACCTCATACATTAACTTGAAAGGGGAAAAAATGATAGCATTTACATTTTAAAGGAGGGGTTTGGGATATTAGCAGTTTGGAGGGATATGTTGTGTATCTTTATACGTATATGCTTCTAAACTGTTGTATTCTGAGCACCTCTGCAAAAGCAGTGATAATGTGTGAGTGTGGTGAAAGTGTTGAATGATGATGAAAGTATTTTCTTTTTGGGGATTTTCTTTCTTTTTTGGGTCACCCTGCCTCGGTGGGAGACGACCAACTTATTGAAAAAAAAAAAAAAAAAAAAAATTTACATTTTCTATTCTTCTATAGTTGGAGTCCCCATGTTTGAATACAGTGGCTTGTGTATAAGCAAACCATCGATTTGCTGAGGTTAATTACTGATGATTTTTTATGTCTTATATTTCAAGTTGCATTTAATGACTCATATTATGGTTGGCTTGTTGTCTTCCTTTTAAAAGATTAATGAACCATAATACTCATGTGTTTTCCTTATGTACATACAGCAATGCATGAAAGAATCCAAAAAATCCTTAAAAGATTATGCTCACCTGGAAATCATCATAGCTGAGATGACAGGAGTCCATCCTGAGTAAAGAACCTCCCTAGTGTGCTTGTTGCGAGCAGCAAGCCATACCCACAACGGCAAGGAGAGTAGGTAACAAACAACAATCAATGGGGACAACCATATATCAGACTCTGAGATTAAAAGAAAAAAAGAAGAAAAAATCAATAAAGCATATTATTGAAAGTCTTCTTCGTTCAATAAACCGGCGGTATCCCACTGAGGCAGGGTGGCCCAAAAAGAAAAACGAAAGTTTCTCTTTTTAAATTTAGTAATTTATACAGAAGAAGGGGTTACTAGCCCCTTGCTCCTGGCATTTTAGTCGCCTCTTACAACACGCATAGCTTACGGAGGAATAATTCTGTTCCACTTCCCTATGGAGATAAGAGGAAATAAACAAGAAAAAGTACTAGTAAGAAAATAGAAGAAAACCCAGAGGGATGTGTATATATATGCTTGTACATGTGTAAAAGAGGAAGGTGGCAACAACAAGTAAGAGGGAGGTGAAAGTGTATAAACTAAGGGAGGAGGAAGTTCAGGCGAGATATAAGCGACCATTGGCAGAAAGGTGGGCTAGTGCAAAGATGAGTAGTGGGGGGGTTGAAGAGGGTTGGAATAGTTTTAAAAATGCAGTATTAGAATGTGGGGCAGAAGTTTGTGGTTATAGGAGGGTGGGGGCAGGAGGAAAAAGGAGTGATTCGTGGAATGATGAAGTAAAGGGTGTGATAAAAGAGAAAAAGGTAGCTTACGAGAGGTTTTTACAAAGCAGAAGTGTCATAAGAAGAGCAGAGTATATGGAGAGTAAAAGAAAGGTGAAGAGAGTGGTGAGAGAGTGCAAAAGGAGAGCAGATGAAAGAGTGGGAGAGGCCCGGTAAAAGGTTAAACAAGTTAAGAAAGCCTAAGGAAAGTATGGATTTGTCAGTTAAAAACAGAGTAGGGGAGTTAGTAGATGGGGAGAGGGAGGTATTAGGTAGATGGCGAGAATATTTTGAGGAACTTTTAAATGTTGAGGAAGAAAGGGAGGCGGTAATTTCATGCACTGGCCAGGGAGGTATACCATCTTTTAGGAGTGAAGAAGAGCAGAATGTAAGTGTGGTGGAGGTACATGAGGCATTACGTAGACTGAAAGGGGGTAAAGCAGCTGGAACTGATGGGACCATGACAGAAATGTTAAAAGCAGGGGGGGGGGGGTATAGTGTTGGAGTGGTTGGTACTTTTGTTTAATAAATGTTTGAAAGAGGGGAAGGTACCTAAGGATTGGCGGAGAGCATGTATAGTCCCTTTATATAAAGGGAAAGGGAACAAAAGAGATTGTAAAAATTATAGAGGAATAAGTTTACTGAGTATACCAGGAAAAGTATACGGTAGGGTTATAATTGAAAGAATTAGAGGAAAGACAGAATGTAGGATTGCGGATGAGCAGGGAGGCTTCAGAGTGGGTAGGGGATGTGTAGATCAAGTGTTTACATTGAAGCATATATGTGAACAGTATTTAGATAAAGGTAGGGAAGTTTTTATTGCATTTATGGATTTAGAAAAGGCATATGATAGTGGATAGAGGAGCAATGTGGCAGATGTTGCAAGTATATGGAATAGGTGGTAAGTTACTAAATGCTGTAAAGAGCTTTTATGAGGATAGTGAGGCTCAGGTTAGGGTGTGTAGAAGAGAGAGAGAATACTTCCCAGTAAAAGTAGGTCTTAGACAGGGATGTGTAATGTCACCATGGTTCTTTAATATATTTATAGATGGGGTTGTAAAAGAAGTAAATGCTAGGGTGTTCGGGAGAGGGGTGGGATTAAATTATGGGGAATCAAATTCAAAATGGGAATTGACAAAGTTACTTTTTGCTGATGATACTGTGCTTATGGAAGATTCTAAAGAAAAATTGCAAAGGTTAGTGGATGAGTTTGAGAATGTGTGTAAAGGTAGAAAGTTGAAAGTCATAGAAAAGAGTAAGGTGATGAGGGTATCAAATGATTTAGATAAAGAAAAATTGGATATCAAATTGGGGAGGAGGAGTATGGAAGAAGTGAATGTTTTCAGATACTTGGGAGTTGACGTGTCGGCGGATGGATTTATGAAGGATGAGGTTAAAGTGCAGGCATTGTACTTCCCATTTCCAGGACTCAAGTCCGACTATATGAAAATAACCGGTTTCCCTGAATCCCTTCACTAAATATTACCCTGCTCACACTCCAACAGATCGTCAGGTCCCAAGTGCCTTTCGTCTCCATTCACTCCTATCTAACATGCTCATGCACGCATGCTGGAAGTCCAAGCCCCTCGCCCACAAAACCTCCTTTACCCCCTCTCTCCAACCCTTTCGAGGACGACCCCTACCCTGCCTTCCTTCCCCTATAGATTTATATGCTTTCCATGTCATTCTGCTTTGATCCATTCTCTCTAAATGACCAAACCACCTCAACAACCCCTCTTCTGCCCTCTGACTAATACTTTTATTAACTCCACACCTTTTCCTAATTTCCACACTCCAAATTTTCTGCATAATATTTACACCACACATTGCCCTTAGACAGGACATCTCCACTGCCTCCAGCCGTCTCCTCGCTGCTGCAATTACCACCCAAGCTTAACATCCATATAAGAGTGTTGGTACTACTATACTTTCATACATTCCCTTCTTTGCCTCCATAGATAACGTTTTTTTAACTCCACATATACCTCAGTGCACCACTCACCTTTTTTCCCTCATCAATTCTATGATTAAACTCATCCTTCATAAATCCATCTGCCGACACATCAACTCCCATGTATCTGAAAACATTCACTTCTTCCATACTCCTCCTCCCCAATTTGATATCCAATTTTTCTTTATCTAAATAATTTGATACCCTCATCACCTTACTCTTTTCTATGTTCAATTTCAACTTTCTACCTTTACACACATTCCCAAACTCGTCCACTACCTAGGATTATTGAAAGTATAGTGTTTAATCCATGACTGAGGTTTCACTGGCTTTATAATTTTCACTGTGATTATACTTAGTCATTCAACCATTAGTCAGTATTCAGAAAACTATTGGAACCTTTTTGAAATTTTTCATAAATACATATGTAATTTGTAGGCAATTTTTTACCTCTATATATGCTGTACAGTACATTACCTATGTCCTACACGTCTTATATCTTAAATCAACAAGACAGTAATGAGTGTGACGGAATTCCACTTTATCATATGATAAGACTCATATCCAGACCCTTACCTTTTGAAGCATACAGTACTGAGGCAATCCAAGCCAATAAACCAAGTGTTGTCAAATCTCCGAGAGATGCAGCAATAGGAGTAGCAACATTGTCAGGGTTGATGCTACACTTTCTTGATGCAAGAATAACTCCCACCATGATTGTACCTGACGATATACAATTTTTAAGAATGAAGTAATTGAAATGTAATTTTTTTTTTTTTTCAACAAGTCAGCCGTCTCCCACCGAGGCAGGGTGACCCAAAAAGAAAGAAAATCCCCAAAAAGAAAATACTTTCATCATCATTCAACACTTTCACCTCACTCACACATAATCACTGTTTTTGCAGAGGTGCTCAGAACACAACAGTTTAGAAGCATATACGTATAAAGATACACAACATATCCCTCCAAACTGCTAATATAATATAATGTAAATTAATGTAAATTAAATGTGTATAAAGCAGTCAATCAGATTCATGTCAGGACCCTGCAGGTGTATCACTGGTTAGCATAAGGTTTCACTTTTGCATGTTACTTTGCTTTGACTTTGCTTTGTGTACTATCTACCACAGTATAACTCTTGTAAAATGATCAGCCTTTAATATACAGTATATAGTACTGTACTATGTAAATACTGTATGTATTTTTTTTAAACACGTTGGCCATCTCCCACCAAGGCAAGGTGACCCAAAAAAACAGAAACACTTTCACCACCATTCATAAATAGTCACTGTCTTTGCAGAGGTGCCCAGATATGACAGTTCAGGTGTGTATAAATACTGTAAATGCATTTCCTCTTTTTTTTTTTTCTTTGGGGGGGGGGGGGGGGTCACATTACCTTGGTAGATGAGCAGTGTTAAAAAAAAAAGGCCTTTAATATCTGTAAATCACACTCAAATACAGTAGATCCTCCACTAAATGACAATCATTCCTAAGTCAACTGTTTGGATCTCAGAACCTATTTTCCCAGACAATCATGTTAAAATGGAAGAAATTTTTCACAGCAATAATATTCCATCTCTGATTTCACGTAGTTATTTTTACTAAGAATATTTTCATTTAGTTTAACTCAATTTCACTTGCCAGTACAAATACAGTACATAGCCTACCAAACTGCTGTCACTGCACACTATATCAAATCTCATATACTTATCCTTTTTCTTAAAATAAATATTTTCTATTATCAAACCTCTTTCTATACACATCCAATTGGAGGGCTCCATTATCACTTACCACTGGCTCTTCAAATTGACCTACCATAATGCAGGAGGGCCCTGCTTTACAGCATTTTGCTAATACAGCAGTTTTCAATTATACCTATTCTTCACTGATTCAGACTTCCTACAATAAATGTAGTATTCACCGCTCACTCTAAGATAAGGATAAAAATATTTAAGGTAAGGAAGTGTACGGTAGGGTTATAATTGAAAAAATTAGAGGTAAGACAGACTGTAGGATTGCAGATGAGTAAGGAGGTTTTAGAGTAGGTAGGGGATGTGTAGATCAAGTGTTTACACTGAAGCATATATGTGAACAGTATTTAGATAAAGGTAGGGAAGTTTTTATTGCATTTATGGATTTAGAAAAGGCATATGATAGAGTGGATAGGGGAGCAATGTGGCAGATGTTGCAAGTATATGGAATAGGTGGTAAGTTACTAAATGCAGTAAGAGTTTTTATGAGGATAGTGAGGCTCAGGTTAGGGTGTGTAGAAGAGAGGGGAACTACTTCCCAGTAAAAGTAGGTCTTAGACAGGGATGTGTAATGTCACCATGGTTGTTTAATATATTTATAGATGGGGTTGTAAAAGAAGTAAATGCTAGGGTGTTCGGGAGAGGGGTGGAATTAAATTAAGGGGAATCAAATACAAAATGGGAATTGACACAGGTGCTTTTTGCTGATGATACTGTGCTTATGGGAGATTCTAAAGAAAAACTGCAAAGGTTAGTGGACGAGTTTGGGAGTGTGTGTAAAGGTAGAAAGTCGAAAGTGAACATAGAAAAGAGTAAGGTGATGAGGGTATCAAATGATTTAGATAAAGAAAAACTAGGTATCAAATTGGGGAGGAGGAGTATGGAAGAAGTGAATGTTTTCAGATACTTGGGAGTTGACGTGTCGGCGGATGGATTTATGAAGGATGAGGTTAATCATAGAATTGATGAGGGAAAAAAGGTGAGTGGTACGTTGAGGTATATGTGGAGACAAAAAACATTATCTATGGAGGCAAAGAAGGGAATGTATGAAAGTATAGTAGTACCAACACTCTTATATGGGTGTGAAGCTTGGGTTGTGAATGCAGCAGCGAGGAGGTGGTTGGAGGCAGTGGAGATGTCCTGTCTAAGGGCAATGTGTGGTGTAAATATTATGCAGAAAATTTAGAGTGTGGAAATTAGGAGGTGTGGAGTTAATAAAAGTATTAGTCAGAGGGCTGAAGAGGGGTTGTTGAGGTGGTTTGGTCATTTAGAGAGAATGGATCAAAGTAGAATGACATGGAGAGCATTTAAATCTGTAGGGGAAGGAACGAAGGGGTAGGGGTCGTCCTCGAAAAGGTTGGAAGGAAGGGGTAAAGGAGGTTTTGTGGGTGAGGGGCTTGGACTTCCAGCAAGCGTGCGTGAGAGTGTTCGATATGAGTGAATGGAGACGAATGGTATTTGGGACCTGATGATCTGTTGGAGTGTGAGCAGGGTAATATTTAGTGAAGGGATTCAGGGAAACCGGTTATTTTTATATAGCCGACTTGAGTCCTGGAAATGGGAAGTACAATGCCTGCACTCTAAAGGAATGGTTCTGGATATTGACAGTTTGGAGGGATATGTTGTGTATCTTTATATGTATATGCTTCTAAGCTGTTGTGTTCTGAGCACCTCTGCAAAAACAGTGATTATGTGTGAGTGAGGTGAAAGAGTTGAATGATGATGAAAGTATTTTCTTTTTGGGGATTTTCTTTCTTTTTTGGGTCACCCTGCCTTGGTGGGAGACGGCCGACTTGTTAAAAAAAAGAAAGAAAGAAAAAAAAGTAATGTGTGTACTGTATATGCATTTTCTTAAGCCTAGTTCTATTGCTCACTTTATATACTATAGTGTAAATATGTTAACTGACTTTTATATGCATTTGAAAAAAAAAAAAAGGCTATGTTTAATTTTATAGCAGTAGCCCAGAACCTAACCTGATGTATAAGCAGGGCCTGCCTGTGTTCCATGAATAACAATTATTCCTATAACTATTTTCTTGTGTGGTTAAAAATTCCATAAACATTTTTGCTTAACACCTCCCAAAATCTCTCTACCCTCCACTCTCCTCAGGTGTATAAATGCTTATTGTAACCTACTTCTCACATCCTACCTTTATTCTAATCTTTCTTGTCTTTCCACAGTTGGTCACTTAATATTACCATTACTTTAACCAGTTCTCTCAGATACTCCCAATTATCCCCATTTACTACTACCTACTGAATTGCTCCCGCCCTATTTTGCTTAGTGCTTGGACACTTAATCAACTACAGAAACACACAAGATTTATCACCAGAGAAGACAATACTCATTACTGAAGAATCCTGGAATCATCACTTATCTGTATATCCAACAACTTCAACCAAAACAATGGCTTCTATAACATAGCTGAACCCCTTGCCAAGAAATTTCTTCATTGCTATCCCACATAAGAACATAAGACTGGAGGAACACTTCAGAAGGTCTATTCATATACTTGTCCAATCTCTTTTTAAAGCTACCCAAGGTCCTAGACTCTATTACCCTACTCAGAAGATGGTCACATGCAGCTTTCTCCACCTGACGCAGCATTCACCACCTGATTCCATCCTATAAATACTCATGTACCTTTCACCCAGGTAGATCTGTTTGTGACTTGATAAAGTCCACTGTGTGGGCGAAATATTGTCAATAAAGGATCACATTATACTGCTTACGTGTTTATATTTCCATTGTGTCAGTATTTTATACCATTTATTTCCGACGCAGAGTATGTAAACAAGCAGACAAACACGTCTGGTTTTGGTGCGTACATGTTCATCTACAAATAACATCTCATTTTTATTCAAATTCAGGTGTGTATAAATACTGTAAATGCATTTCCTCTTTTTGTTGTTGTTGTTGTTGTTGTTGGGGTGTATTTATCATGTTTATATGTTACATAGCATGTTTTTATATAATTTTGAGAAAAATATCATAGATGGAGTAATGAAAATGTTTATATTAATGTAATATATGAAATTTAATGTACCTCAGTTATTATTACTGATCATTATTAATATGGCATCCTCAAGACTAATAAGACACTCTTAGTAATTTTAATGTGTACCTGCGTGCCAGCACAGTGTCTAATTTTATTTAGGTACAGGTATACATAAGTATAATTATCAGAGTATATATAAAACATGAAATAACTTCAAAACACTTAGAAATTTTGGAAAATTTCCAAACATAATGGAGAGACGCAGTGCTCAAGGAGAATGTAAACAAACTGGGTGGGGTGCGGTGACCATATTAGAAAGTCAGGTGGGGAAAGCCATGTAGTGAGTTTCGGTCATAATTTGAAATGTTTGTATTAGCGGAACACCGTAAGGCAAAATGCTGTAAAGCGGGGCCCTACCATACTTAGGTTTGAGTGGTTCCAAAGTGCTGTTGTAAACAAAGAACACAAAGTTAGAATGTTCAAGAGTAAACAAATGACGTCATGCGTCTAATACGCATTAGCTGATGGGGCTAACATGCGTTCATGAATGTGCTAATTATTTATACAATTATTACAACATTGCATACGAGTAAATCTTTTATTTTTTTGGTGTGAATAAATATTCATTATGTGAATTAAAAATCAAAATGGAATTCATTTGTAAAGCCTGAAAATGTAACTAACAAACAGAGGATATGTTACTCTAGTGCCAGGAATGTCTGCATTATTTATTCTGAACCCTATTTTGAAATTGGAATATTCTGAACTTTGTGTTAAATTGGCCAAATTAGCAATTTCCAATCATTTTATTGGGTAGTTAAAAAAGTTGACTGGGCAATTTCTTGTGTTCAATTGATAAAACAGAAGTAATACTAGTGAAATAGCTAAGAATTTGAATGACTTGAAAACTGAATTGTAATTGGCCTAAAATGGGAGTCAAAGCCGGCAAAATCACTGATGCATCAAAGTTCGCGAAAGCGTAACTTTGTCAATTTTCCATCAAATTTCATTCTCTTTGTTTTATTACCTTCAGAAAAAAGATTCTCTACCATTTCATAAGAAAAAATCATTTTTTTTTTTTTTTTAAATTCTTGGACCCTGGCTGTCGCTCTTGAGATTCGGCCTCTGAACCCTATAAGGGTTCAATAAATTTTGATGCTTTCTTTGAATGCACACATACATTTACTACATTCATCAAAGGCTAAATTACAATTCTAAATTATGATTCTTCTCATGTAAACAAACTTAAAATTAATGAAATTTGTCTGTAACACCTTATACAGTAATATTACAGAGTATAATTACAGAAATTATAGTTACCACTAATGAGGAAATAGCAACATATGTATCGTGGTTCAACTAAACAATAATATATCACTGTCATGATTTGATGACCAGCAAAAATCATTGAGAAACTCACCTTCAATTCTTCTGTGAAACAGTAACATGTAAAATCACTCCCAGTAGGGAAACAGCTGATATAAAAACCAATATTGCAATACAGCTTCTCCTCGCTTAGCAACGTACTCATTTACTGACGACTCGGACATACGAATGGCTCTCTGACCAGTATACGTACCTAAATAATGTATATTAGAGCTGATTTCCTCTATTCCGTTTATTACAATACAGACTATACTACTGTATAAACATTTAAAATATACTAGAAATGTTATAAATGGTGCAAAGGTGACATTAAAACAATATGAAAGATGGCTGACACAAACCCACTACCATTATAGTATGCTCCTCACTTAGCGACGAATTCGTTTACTGACGTGGTTTTAGGAACGGAACTCCATCGTTAAGTGAGGAGAGGCTGCATATTGAAATGCATTATGTAAATGATGCAATTTTTTAATCTTGAATACAGTATAAATAAAATCTGACACACTACAGCATTAGCCTTACTAAGGATTAATGACGCAAGAGATGCAGTGACGAGAGCAGCAGCACAGAGAAGCAGTGCATGGAGGATATTGAAGTGCCCTTCTGGAATCCATCCCATCACCACAGCAGCTACAGATGCCAGGAATCCAACCACTATAGCTTGACACTGTAAAGAATTTCAGCATGAAAATGTATCTTATGCATGACTTAACCACTAACCATGTTGTTCAGTATGACTCTGGTTTACATACAGTTATGTAATTACTTACCAATTTAATCAAAACTATAGACAGGGTTTGTTTTCTGGTATGTTTTTATGACAAAAAATTCTTATTTAATTTTCAGCAAAAATTTCATATACTTTGGCACTGTTATTTATCAGCACTCATATACAGAATTTGTGTTCAGTAGATAGTTTTATGAAAACCAAAATTTCTACGTAATTTTCAAGCAATCTTTCATAAGCTGTAGTACAGTACCTTCATTTGATCTTATTTTTTTATTGCTTTTTATATATACACACAAGAATAGGGGTGCATAATATTACACCTAATCCACATGCTGGTACTTAGTAAAGCATATAATAACTAGATGTATTTTGGTCGCTGCATGGTCCAAGAACAGTATCTCTTTATTCCATAACCCCAGTCCTATGCCTCAATGTATGTAAATGAAACAGTGAAGTTCAGCATTAAAAAGGTAAAATTTCCATCTGTTACACAGTACATGTTATGCAGCACTGAATATACAACTCTTTGTTTTTTTAGTTAAAACATCAAAAGGATATTTTTGATAGAAAATGTGCAAACAGGCTATGATGCAAGAATATTTAATTATACTGTAAAACAGTAATTGAATATTATACATACATATGCACATTTAAAGAGTGTAGCTGAATTACAGACCTGAATAAGTGCCATGTTTCCAATGATCATAGACAGACAGTCTTCTTTATTATCAAGGTGACCAAGATTAGCATGAGTTGACAGCCGTGATGCTAATGTCATTTCCAAGTTTCCTTTCAGACCCAAAAGAGCTGGCACCATGATAAAAAGTTCACTCACATCTCTGAAGACATCCCAGTGCTGAAAAGAATCATATCACGGATTATAGCATATGTTTTAATAATTCCTTTGTTAATGTTGACTAAGCTAGACATAATAACAAAAATAAAAGATTATTAGTGAATCCTTAGGTGCAGTTACAGTCAGAATAGACCCATTTAAAGCATAATTAAGACGGTAAACTAATGAAAAGCAGCTTGAAATTTATACATTACATAATTCTGGTGAGACTAGGCTGTAATGGAGAGATTTGGCAAGTAATTCTTTACTGTCAGTAAAGTAGAGAAGTATGTGCCAGAATGCAAGATAAAGAGAGGATTTTGACTTTAGTAGGCATGTGTCCGTCATCTGATGTTGTAGACGTGTTCCAGATCCATGGCATTAGTACTAAGTTCAATCACACAATATACACTTAATTACATGTAACAGAAATCCTCAATACACTTTTGGAGCTGTTCTGATCTCCTATGTACTCCATCTTTTTTTTTATGTTCCAATTAGCCATTTCTTTTTATTTTGGCATTGAAAGCTTATTTGTGCTATACAAAAGTAATGTTTTTCATATAAATTATTTCAGTCAAACATTTCCCAAGAAAGAAGTCCAGTACAGTAGTACTTTGAAAATCTTGCTCAATCAAGGTACTGTACTGGGTAAGTGAACAGTTACTCTATGCCTGAATTACAGGCATATGAATATTTGGTGCAGATGTTGTGGATCCATATTGTTTGTTATACAAAGCAGTCAGAAAATATGGATTTTAAAGGATTTTGGAAATGGTAATAGAGAATTATTCCAATATCTTATTAGCTGTTACTTTACCAAATGTACTGAACATATGTTTTCTAACAAAAACAGGCTACATCAGGTGGTAAAGTTACAGGATGCTGAAGTGGCATTCTGGTTCCCCATATGCTTTAGGTTTCTAAAAATTGGCAATATATAAACTCTAAAGTTGAATTTACAGGGTAAATGTGTTTTCCTACCTCAGGTTATTTCAAAGCCCAGCCCTCTCTAAGGTGCACTATCAACCCTAGGTTGCAACCCATAACAATCAGCTAATACCAGGGTATATACCTATTTACTACTAGGTAAGTGAGGAAAGCAGATGTAAGGAGACTTCTCCGTGTATCTTGCCCAGCCTGGGAATCCAAACCCAGGTCCCTATGGTTGTGATATGCACTTGCTGTTCGTGATGGATGTGGTTCACGAATTACATTGAAGATTCTTATGTGGAATTATTTGTTTATTTTCTGACTGATCTCATTACAGCAGCCATGAAAATGGAATGCATCTACAGCATAAATGATGAACACCTTAAGCATATATGATGTACAGTGGGTAAAGATAGAAAACAGAAGGATTATTTAAAAGAAATTTACCTGAACAAGATCAAGTACCAGTCCTGCTCCAACCATTCCCAGACCTGCCACTAGGAAAGGTAACATAACTTGTGTCATGATAGACAGACTGGTTTCTTCATCACTTGATACCTCTGCCCCACCTTGAAGTAGAGATGCAACTTGGTCATCATCCGATGCTGACGAACGCTCCTCAAACAACCCATCCCCCTCCTCAATACGACCCTGTAAGGTAAGTTTCTCAGTATCTTACTAAAACATCACTTTATTACCCCAATACTTCCTTATAGATAAACTTATTATACCACTACCAAATTATGTAATTTAAAATGAGCTGAAAATAAGAATGTTAATATAAAGACATAATACAAATGAAAAATTATAAACAATGTATTGTACTTAGACTAAATGATATTAATTGTTATTTGAAGTTATGAACTGCATAGTACTTAACTACAAAGATTAATGAGTAATTAAAAACAATTCTTATCTCTGGTAAGCAATTGTGATTGCCTTGAACTTGCTTGTTTTTGCTTACACACTCATTAGCTATCTTGTTAGTAACCTATAAATCCTAACCCATTCCTACTACAGTACTTTTATAGATTTCTAGTATCTGTCCTTCACTCCAATTGCTGTACAGTAATATATATGTAATATATATCTTAAGCTCATATTTTAACAGATCCTATCTAGTAAACATTATTATATTCATAGAAAAAGCACTATATCCATAGGGTCATACAGTACCACAAGGTAGAGGTGAAAAAGATGGCAGAAAGGTAGAGATTGAAGTGCTGAGGAGAGGGCATCAGCAGAAGGAATGAAGGTAGGAGATGTGGTTACATGTGATGCAAAAAATTTGAGGCAAACAATAAATCATAGAAATTATCTGCATTAAGAGCAGGACCATCAAAGAGGACTTAATTTTATAAGAGTAGCAGGAACGGCAGTGGTGATAGCAATGATGACATCAGCATTGGCGGTATCACCGATGAGTGCATCTGCAGTGGTGACAGCGGCAGCTTCAGCAGGGGTGGCATCAACAGCAACGGTGGCAGTGTCAGCAGCAACAGCAGTGGTGTCAGCATTAGCAGCAGCAGCAGCACAAGGCAAAGTCCATTTGTAACAGTCCAAACCAAGTCACAGGCTGTAAGCCACAGCAAATTTTGACAAATGGCAAAATGTCCTTGCTAGTTAGACCAAAAGAAGAGGGAAGAGTTGGCTTACAATCAAACCCCATAAAAATGGCAAGGGTGAGGTTCATAGTGGTCTATGCAAATTCAGAACCAGTGAATACTACAAAATTTTGCACATTAAATTTTGTTTCAGATTTGAGCTTTGTTTCAGAGGTCAGATCTTGCTAACTCTGGTTAATACTGAATTGGGTTTGGGGAACTCTATCAAGCATATTTTGAAAGACATCCAGTGGTCAGGTTTCAATTCTAGGGTCATGCACCAAATTAAAAAAAATGGGAACCACAAAAAATTTGCAAATAATTTAAGCTATTTGCTGTTGGATAATTGAAGCACGAGAATTTGGAAATTTGCAAATCTTGGGGCTTGATTGTATTTTAATTCGAGGAAAGGGAGGGAAGCTTCAATTCCTCAGATCAAGAGGCCTTCACCACAACAAGGAAGAGTCCAATATGTTTATAGTTCTTCAGTGCACTGGTAATTCTTTCCAGCTTGCTGACTGATACCAATATTTGATTTACAGTATCCATTTTGCCTTAAGCTCTCATACTGTCTCTGGTATTCTTCAACACTTAGTGACTTAGCACAATACAAACACACACAAATTTTATTTTATTCCTAAAAATGTGCTAAGCCTGTCTGGGTCGTAACAGTGCTATACAACAGAGATGAGTGAATATCTGTCGTAAGAATTTTTTTTTTTTCAACAAGTTGGCTGTCTCCCACTGAGGCAGGGTGGCCCAAAGAAGAAAGAAAATACTTTCATCATCATTCAACACTTTCACCTCACTCATACATAATCACTGTTTTTGCAAAGGCGCCCAGATACAACAGTTTAGAAGCATATATAAAGATACATAACGTATCCCTCCAAACTGCCAGTATCCCAAACCCCTCCTTTAAAGTGCAGGCATTGTACCTCCCATTTCCAGTACTCAAGTCTGGCTATATAAAAGCCAAAGAAATATTCAGTATAAATGCATCTCTCATAGAAAAAGCAGTGGTCATGCAAAAAAATAGTATGTAGTTTGCATAAAAATATTACTCAAACAAAAAGCATTAGTTTTGTAAAATGTTAGTCCGCACAAAAAACACTTGTCTTAAAATAAAGATTAATTTCATAGAAATGCAGTTTAAAACTAATAAATAAATAAATTAATTAATTAATATATATACAGTGGAGCCCTGCGAATTCGCAGCTCTGAATTCGTGGCTTCAGTAATTCGCGGATTTTTCCTTAGAACCTAACTAATAATTGTTTGCGGAGATCCCTGCAAATTTACGTTATTTTTTTTTTGGCTTTTTTTTCGTGGCAATATAAAATTTTTTTTACGATTTTTAAATTTTAAAGCAAAAATTTTAAAGAAAATAAATTTAAAAATTTTTGCAACATAAATATTAACAAATTCAGCAAAATTTCCATATACGGGTGATACCCAAAATTTTAAAACTTTATTTTTACAAAATTTAAATTATTACCGTATTATACAAAAAAAACGGGGTTTGCATGAATTACAGTATACCAAAAAAAAGGGCTTGCATGAATTCAGTACATAGGGGAAAACATTGGTATTTTTACATTCTAGCACTGTGGGAGACATAACAATACAGTACGTACGTAAGGGTTCATCTTTACAGTTTTTTTTTTAAGGTGATGTATGAAGCATTTTTTAAATTAAATTAAAGTGTTTTGGGCATATTTAGGGTGTTAACTATCAAAAAAGGCATTTTAAAAAAAACATTTTTTTAACTGCATCCAGAATTCGCGTTTTTTTTCCCCAAAATTCGTGGGGGGTTTTGGAGCGAACTCCGCGAATTTGGGGGCTAATGTGTGTGTTGGTATATAATATAAAAATATAAAAATATAAATATATATATTAATTATATATATATATTATATAAAATAATACACTGGTGGGGGGAAGGGGGGGTTTATTCTCACATCCCGCATAACCAAGAAAAATTTTCCAAAACATAGGGATCCTTTTCCAAGATACAATACATGTACCCCAAATACACTCCTTCCCTAACCCTCTAATAATCCCTACCTCACCTATGGTATTTGTGCTGAGAAACAACCACACCAACCCTTTTTTAACCTTTTTAAAATAAAAAAAACAAAAAAAACTTTGTCAGGGCCCCGCTCCTGTGCTAGACAGCACACCCCCCCCACTTTTTAAAAGCCTAATTGGTAAATAACGAGACATACACTCTTATTTTTGTGCCTACACATAACAGAACATTAACTCAAATAAAACCCTCTCTTAAACTTCTCCTTTGATAGCTCAACAGAACACACAGTCAAAATACAAGGCATATTAATTATTATAATCAAAAAAAACGCAAGCCAAAAGGGCATACAGCGCTGCAGGGTAGGGAAGGAACGGGGGTTTTGGGATGGCAGAAGGGGGGGGGATGTCAGCATTACAAAAAAGCGGGGAGGGGATGTAGGGGGGTAGAGGGTAGCAAGAATTGAAGAAAAGGCTGAAGGTACAAATTTGTGAAGTAAGTCTTTTTGTAAAAAATCAATGAAGAGCCCCCAGATGAAAGGGGGGTCCTCAGCGAGAAGGGAAGATAAAGAAGACAGGGGCAAAGACCGACAGAGGTAAATTCGCGTGCTCGTTGATAAAGGGGGCACCCCAAAAAGAAGGGGCAAACTGATAATGGAGTTGGCAATTCTCACAGAGGGGGCAAGACCCTCTCCATAGATGCCATGATAAGACGAGATGGCCAATGCGAAAGGAAAGAGTATCCCCCCCCAAACCTCGAACTGGGATAAAAAAACGGCCCCAGTAACCAAAACTCGGTTTAATAATTGAAGTTTGTTCCGAGCATAGTAGACCAACTTTGTTGCCAACGGGTGTGAAGGGGGAAGAATTGCAGAAAAAAGTCCGAAAAAGGAATCCCTCATAAGAGACGGTGGGTCGTAGCTGACCGGCGCATGCTCCCTGTTCTTGCCCTGTACTAAACATGACCGGGGCCCAACAAAAAACAATATCTTTTGTTGGGAAAAAGGGGGCGTACCCAAAATTGGGATACGGAGGGCTAAGGGTGACTTAAAAATTTTTGTATAGCCGTAAAGCACTAAGGGGAGCTGAACAACCAAAAAGATGACACACATAGTCAAACGATAAGTGCTGAAGGTGCAAAAATTAGCATAAAAATACTAGCCGAAGATAGTAATGCCCTTGAACGCCTGTCCGGAAACACTGCAGCGAATCCACGCCGCAGAAGACTAGAGCCATCTGTGTACACAGCAAGGGCAGAGAATGGGGGGTGAAAGGGGCAAGAAAAAGAAGGGGGAAGCGACCGAAACAGTTGGGCTTTCGAAAAGGGAGGGAGAAAAACCCAGCCAACAGCGGGAATTTTCCCCAGGGGGGTAGGGAAAAGTGAAACCCCACTTTACATAAAAAGGGGGGTAGTTGAAGGAAACAAAGCAATGAAGGCGAAGAGAAAAGGGGAGGGAGTAAACAGGGGCGGCGAACAAATAAAGAAGTCTATAAATCAGTGACCATTCAAAAGGGAAGGATGGGGAGATCATGAGAGCTAAAGTAGCCAGGAATGGCATAAAACGGCAGGATAAGGAGGAATTCGCTTCGTAAAAGGGGCTCTCGACAGGGGAAGAGCGAAAAGCACCAAGGCATAAACAACCTTTGGGTGATGAATGGATTAAGCTAGAGAGAGTAGCGGAGAGCCGCTGAATAATCTGGTCACCATAATCAATTTCGATAAAAAAAGGGTGGAATGAAGGGGGAGAGGGTTCGACGATCAGCTCCCCATGAAAATGACAAGATTTTAAGAAGGTTCACCGCGTGAAATTTGCCTTCAGAGGGGTAATTGGGGTTTCCGGGATAACCAACGACAAAGAGGGGGCCCAAAACTTGACTGTATCACTTCGGGGATAGGGGGAGCCAAAAGGGGTCAAAGGATACGAGAGACAACGTCAGTCAAAGAAATTTTGGTGGGTTTTAGTGCGGAAAATTTAAACCCACTGTGGTGGCCCAATTGAAAAAACGGTCGACTGCAGT